AAATTTATATTTATATTTACGTATTCTTAGTCTATATTTATATTAATTATCGGTTAATTGGTATCAAAAAGTCGCTGTTTGTATATAAATGAAAATTGAAACCATCGATCACTGTTTTATAACATTACTTATACAAGTCTGGAATAATAAGTATATAAGTCTGGAATAATAAATATTTATCACTGTGTTATATTAAACATACTTTTATATGATGTAAAACAAGCATTTATTAGCAGTAATAAGATTATGTAGGGACGGAGAGAGAGAGAGAGAGAGAGAGAGAGAGAGAGAGAGAGGTGTCAATAGCGTTGAAAAGTCGTAAATTTTTGCTATAATTGAATTGATTATAGAGTATAGAGATGTGATATTTGGTATGTCTGGATGAGACCGGAAGGGCGATATAATTGTGGAAAACAACCATGATAGTAAGCAAACAGCGTTTCTAAGACACCTGGATTACTAGGATTTGTTGGTTAAGACTTAGCGCACACCAGCATATCGTAACACATCTAATGTCCAACATATTGGACATCTCACACAACTGGCCTCACAAACAGAGGGCTTGTATAACACGTGTCAACATTTGCCACAAAACAGTTGTTGAAAATTATCAAGATTTTTGTACTAAAAAAAAGGATTCACAAACTGATCCCTAACTGCTGTCTCGGCTAACGAGCAGTTGTTTTGTAAACGATATGTTTGTATCGGACGGACAGTTGCCTCATGTCCAGTGATTTAGCGCTTCTGTTCAATGTTTCCCATTTCATACAAAACATTAAAAATAGATACTTTTTTGACACCCGTTTGCCTATACATTGATATATTAAATTGTTTTTAACATTTTAAACTCAACTTTGTTTTGGACGATAACTGAAAACAAAGTATTGATGAAATCATGGATCAGTTTGTGATATAAAGCATTAATATTGATATTAAACATTAAGACGTTGAGAATTGAGTGATTGTTTGTATTTATATGACGGCAAGATTGTCATATCGTTTATAAATTACCATTTATATTATAACAAGAATTTATAAATATTTTATAAGTACTCTTAAAAATTGATTTTAAAGTAATAAAAATCATTATAAAAACTAATAGATATATTGAGCAAATATTACTTACAAAAAATAAATATTAGTTTTGTATTCATTTATTCAAATAAATTCTGTTTTATATGTCAGACAAGAGAGGATTCCGAAAAAACTTATCAAATATCACATAAAATTTAATTGAAGTCTTGATTATAATTGTATAATTTTTTTCTCTTTTTCATGAATGAAATTTAATTAAAAGAGGATCTGATGTCTGAACACATATTTCTGACCAATTATTCGATGAATTAATTTGAAAACTCACTCAAAAGATTAAAACCTCGACTCTAATTGCTATAAAGAAAACCAAAATTAAAACTCTTTTGACGAAAAAGATTTTTAATATCATTAATGAGTTTTTATTGAAAATTTTTTAAATGTTTTTATTTCACTTTGAATATCATTATAGATTACGATCGTATGAATGAATAAATAGGAAAAGTGGACATATTTAACAATTTATGCTAATATCACCCATAAGTTCATTAATCTGTGCTCAAATTCATTAAAGTTGTTATTAAAATGTGATTTTTTTGGTCATAAAACCCATTATTCGAGTTAATACCAGAAATATTTGCATTTCTGACATATTTTTAAAATGCGTTCAGACTTTATGTATTAGTAATACAGTATTACATATATATTATTATAGTGGCTATCAATTAGTTGGTAACTCTTGGAGCTGTTCCACAACCAAAATCATCACAAACGCATGCGTTTTCATTAGGAAAACAATTTTACCTATGATTTCATAGACTTTATGCCATCAATCTCTTGATCAATGCTTTTGCCATCATTATCAGAATTTTTTCAAGAAAAAATGGTAAATAAATATCTATCAGTAATAATTATAACATAATATCGTATAGAATGGGTTCTTATGCCACAAAATTTAATATTTGTCAAAGTGTTCCGATAACCACCGCTAATATCGCAAATATAAAAAGGTTTTTTACTTTCATTTCATTCATATTGCTATTAATATTGCTTTTTAAAAGCATATGATTAGATATTGTCGTGTGTTTTCCATATTTTCTTAATTCATTGGCGAAACGAAACGATAATAATTTTTCATACGCTTTCTTATCAATAATTTATTGCAAATTCATTTGAAATTCCTCTAAAAAACTCTCTCTTTTTTATTAATGTAATATATAATTGAAAAAACTGTTAAAACAGCGAAAGGCCAACGATTAAGATACTGCTGTTAGGATTGGACAATGCGGGCAAAACAACCACTGCCTTACATCTCATCGGAGGTAATATATCGGTGACAATACATAAATATAACTTATATATACATTACATACGGGAGACATATCTTTATAGAAAATCTTTATCACTAGTCAGTGACACGTAAATGCAATAATTAATTAGTTATAAAGNATGGATCAGTTTGTGATATAAAGCATTAATATTGATATTAAACATTAAGACGTTGAGAATTGAGTGATTGTTTGTATTTATATGACGGCAAGATTGTCATATCGTTTATAAATTACCATTTATATTATAACAAGAATTTATAAATATTTTATAAGTACTCTTAAAAATTGATTTTAAAGTAATAAAAATCATTATAAAAACTAATAGATATATTGAGCAAATATTACTTACAAAAAATAAATATAAGTTTTGTATTCATTTATTCAAATAAATTCTGTTTTATATGTCAGACAAGAGAGGATTCCGAAAAAACTTATCAAATATCACATAAAATTTAATTGAAGTCTTGATTATAATTGTATAATTTTTTTCTCTTTTTCATGAATGAAATTTAATTAAAAGAGGATCTGATGTCTGAACACATATTTCTGACCAATTATTCGATGAATTAATTTGAAAACTCACTCAAAAGATTAAAACCTCGACTCTAATTGCTATAAAGAAAACCAAAATTAAAACTCTTTTGACGAAAAAGATTTTTAATATCATTAATGAGTTTTTATTGAAAATTTTTTAAATGTTTTTATTTCACTTTGAATATCATTATAGATTACGATCGTATGAATGAATAAATAGGAAAAGTGGACATATTTAACAATTTATGCTAATATCACCCATAAGTTCATTAATCTGTGCTCAAATTCATTAAAGTTGTTATTAAAATGTGATTTTTTTGGTCATAAAACCCATTATTCGAGTTAATACCAGAAATATTTGCATTTCTGACATATTTTTAAAATGCGTTCAGACTTTATGTATTAGTAATACAGTATTACATATATATTATTATAGTGGCTATCAATTAGTTGGTAACTCTTGGAGCTGTTCCACAACCAAAATCATCACAAACGCATGCGTTTTCATTAGGAAAACAATTTTACCTATGATTTCATAGACTTTATGCCATCAATCTCTTGATCAATGCTTTTGCCATCATTATCAGAATTTTTTCAAGAAAAAATGGTAAATAAATATCTATCAGTAATAATTATAACATAATATCGTATAGAATGGGTTCTTATGCCACAAAATTTAATATTTGTCAAAGTGTTCCGATAACCACCGCTAATATCGCAAATATAAAAAGGTTTTTCACTTTCATTTCATTCATATTGCTATTAATATTGCTTTTTAAAAGCATATGATTAGATATTGTCGTGTGTTTTCCATATTTTCTTAATTCATTGGCGAAACGAAACGATAATAATTTTTCATACGCTTTCTTATCAATAATTTATTGCAAATTCATTTGAAATTCCTCTAAAAAACTCTCTCTTTTTTATTAATGTAATATATAATTGAAAAAACTGTTAAAACAGCGAAAGGCCAACGATTAAGATACTGCTGTTAGGATTGGACAATGCGGGCAAAACAACCACTGCCTTACATCTCATCGGAGGTAATATATCGGTGACAATACATAAATATAACTTATATATACATTACATACGGGAGACATATCTTTATAGAAAATCTTTATCACTAGTCAGTGACACGTAAATGCAATAATTAATTAGTTATAAAGTGCCATAATTTTTATTTTTTCTCTGATTTAAAGCAAAGCTAACTTTATTTGATAGATTCGTTGGAAGATATAATACCAACGATTGGTTTCTCAAACTTGGAAATGAGGAGATATGAGAAATACCGAGTAGTGGTGTACGACTTGGGCGGAGGCGCGCGAATCAGAGCCATTTGGAAGAACTATTTCGCTTTAATACACGGAATCGTTTTCGTTATCGACTCTTCGGATATCAGCCGAGTTCTGGAGGTTAAAGATGTGATCGAGGAAGTGGTCTCTAATGATAAAATATCTGGAAAACCGATTCTAGTGTTTGTATTATTTCTTTAATTCATATCTCCGTATATATAGTGTCTTATCTACTCTTCAAGAATAATCAGAAGATAGACACAGATGTCTAGATATCAGCAAATGTACTGATAGTTTGCCTTTTATTCTCAAACAGATAGCCTGCAATAGAAAATTTTCTAAAACTATAGATTAGTTTTCGTAAGATTTTTGTGTGAATTTTAAATATTTGAGAATATATTTGTCACTTTTACCATGAATTTGCTTTTTCCCATTAGTTTAGTTTAAATAGAGATATACAGCGGATTAGGCACTGAACACACTTCAGTAGTATCACACAAAACGCACAATTGTTTTCTCATTAAATCAATTTTGAAAACAAACTCAAACACTAAAAAGAGAAAATATTTAGATTTTAAAAAATAATTAACGTTTTTATTTGCAGTTTAATCAATAAACAAGATATTGAGGGCGCGTTAGAAGAGCTGGATATTTGTCAATATTTAAAACTTGAATCTCTTATCAACAAATTTAAGTGTCCGACAAAAGTTGTGAGTTTTCTTCATTCTCTATGTATACTATTCAACAGTAAAAGCCTTGAAATATATTTCAGATTAGAATAAAATAGCAATAAAATAAAAAAGAGGATAAAATTCAATTTGAATGTCTCTCAGAGAGACTCATAATAGGGAGAGAAGTGTAGTGAAAGAATTACTCGACAAAAATATTTATACTTTAAGAATAAATATTAGATTATTTATGCTTTACATAAATTGTTTAGATTATTATAACGAGACACTCGTTAATCAAAACATATTCAATAAAAAGAGTGCTTTTTTGTTGTATTCTCATTGTCTGGATGTGAGAACAGAATTGACAAATGAATTTTGATCTGATTATGTGATAATAAGATTGGTTATGATTTGATAAAACATTTCACTATTCATCACATAATTACTTAGTTTTGCATATAATCTCATTAACTGATAGGAAACGTGTTCAGCGAATACTAGACCAGAAAATGGATCCAAAATAGATCCGTCGATTGATAGCGGATATAAATGGCTGTTAAGTTTTGTAGCGAAAAATTGGTTTCAATTGAATAATAGAGTGGAAACCGATTCTAACGAACAGTTTTCTAACGAGAAGAAGAGTTTGGAGGAGAGAATGAATCGATTTAGAAATAAACGATTTGAGACACAAGAAGATGAGAATGATTTCGCTAATAAGGAAGACTTCATTAAAAACGGGAATCCATTCAAAGCTATCGATGATGTGATCCGAGATGTCGAGCAAAAGAAGTTTGATATGAATAATAGCCAAATGAATGGCAACTTTGAAAATAAAAATCTTGTTAATGGAAACAAAGATTTTGGGTCAAAGAATATGGACTCGACTTCTTCCGACAGAGACGACACCTCCGATCACAGCAATGAATCCAATGATAGCAACGATATTCTGACAAACAATTCGTTATCTGATGAGAAAGACCACATAGACACGGATCAGACATCCGGTACTCAAACTTATTCTATCGATAAGACCCCCACAAGAACTGGCGATTCACAGACACATCGCCACCAAAAGCAAGCCGTCGACGAAGTGATCATCAAAAGCGATGCCAAAACTACTAAAGGTTTGTATGAAAAATGTTATTTAATATAATATATTGTATAAAATATTTGATAAATATGTCTATTTATATGAGATGTGTATTAAGTTAAACATTTCTGTTCATAAAAACATACCATTTATCTAAATGTTTATATTTTGTGTAAATTTTTCTCTTATTATCAGATGTCGAGTCCCGAAAGTCAATGAGTCCTGAGAGCAGCGAAATGTCTATTACTCCTAATCGATATAATAATCATAAAAAAGCCAAACGAAAGACGAAAGCAATGAGAAATAGTAAAGAATTTTGGGTCAAAGAATATGGACTCGACTTCTTCCGACAGAGACGACACCTCCGATCACAGCAATGAATCCAATGATAGCAACGATATTCTGACAAACAATTCGTTATCTGATGAGAAAGACCACATCGACACGGATCAGACATCCGGTACTCAAACTTATACTATCGATAAGACCCCCACAAGAAGTGGCGATTCACAGACACATCGCCACCAAAAGCAAGCCGTCGATGAAGTGATCATCAAAAGCGATGCCAAAACTACTAAAGGTTTGTATAAAAAATGTTATTCAATATAATATATTGTATAAAATATTTGATAAATATGTCTATTTATATGAGATGTTTATTAAGTTAAACATTTCTCTTCATAAAAACATACCATTTATCTAAATGTTTATATTTTGTGTAAATTTTTCTCTTATTTTCTTTTATTATCAGATGTCGAGTCCCGAAAGTCAATGAGTCCTGAGAGCAGCGAAATGTCTATTACTCCTAATCGATATAATAATCATAAAAAAGCCAAACGAAAGACGAAAGCAATGAGAAATAGTAAAGTATCGCCCGATTTGAGTAAAAACAGCTGAGAATTACATTTTTATATTTCATAAATATCAGTACTTATTCTCGTAAAAACTTTTTTGGATCAAAAAACACCCGAAAAACACTGTATTTTTGTTTGTTATTAAAAGACAACAAAAAGTTAATTAACTCTGTATTCTGTTATTTTTTAGTTGTTATGATTTTCATTATAAATAATCGGTTATTGTATTTCAAAAATATTCACATTATTTCATACACATTATACATAAACAGCATATTCTTGAAAGCCATAAAACTTGTTATTAATAATAATAATAATTTATTACATAAAAAGCAATGTATTTTTCACACAATATGTGTAATATAATTTTCAGTCAAATAACTAAATACTATTTGTAATCCTAAAAGTTATTCAATATATGCGCACAAAAAACAAGACTAAAAACTATGTTTTAGAAAAATATTATATTATATTTCAGTTATTTTGTTATTTAATACCATTATTCGAGATTTATTCGCATTTGTATTAATACATGTGAGAAAGAATGGACTTTTCATTGTTTTAATTGAAATTTAATTTATTTTTCTTCGAGAAGTATGTGTAGTAAAAAACAACACTTGTCTACGACTGGGACTTAAGGTTATCGTCATATTTATAAAGAAATTTAAGTTATATTCTCGTTATTAGAGTTGTTTCTAAATATTAAATGTTAGACGAGAAGCAAAAAAAGTTTTGTACTCAAAAAAAGGAGAGATTGTAATAAAATTTTTTTGTGTTGACTCTAAAAACTATCAATAATACTGTATATACTGTAGTGTTCACTATAAACGGCATCCAATGAAACAAGTTTTGCAGTCCTCACGTCATCCAACAAATCTCACCCACAGCTCTCTCTCTCTCTCTCTCTCTCTCTCTCTCTCTC